TACAGAAATTTCTTTACGAGTTAGTGCCAACCACTTAATATGAATTTTTTTGAGGATTCGTAAAGAAATCGTTACATAATTCGGATACCCTTAAAGATTTCCTTAACATTTCGGAAACTTTGCTTTGCAGTCAATAAATCAAACAACAAAGAGACCCTAGATTTCAGTTTTAATGCGTTGACTGTCTAAACTCTACGATCTGCCATTTTATTTAGGGTGCTATATAAGATAAAGGATTTGTTTTCTAAAATGCACTGTGCTCTACTTGTCAAGCCCTTTCATTTGATACCCATATATATTAAGATGGTTGTGAATAAAATTTTGTTCGCCATTTTATGTCTGCGGCCATCTTGGATTTACAATGAATTTGTATAAAACGTACATAATTTCATTGTTCTCAGAACTAAAGGTGTGTGCCAAATTTCAGATCAATAACTCAACGGAAAAAAGGGAATTTTCAATTACTATTAAATTTGACCCAAACAAGATTTAAAATGACCCACATGTGTGAGAGATAAAGGGTTAACATGTTCCACAAAAATATGCGTCATTAAATTTTACTATAGGGCCTTAAAGACAAGAGTAATAGTAAATGTAGTTTTATACAAGATTTTTTAACTAATTTAGGCCAAATTAGGAAAACTTCAGTGTGTACACTGTGAGAAACTTTTGACGTTCATGGAGAAAACGGCAGCCAATCCAGAGCTCTAGAGCTCTTCCTCTTTCATAATTGCCGAACTGCATTTGGGCCTTTGTTTGGCTGTCGCACAGTGTTTTTAGACTTTCAGCTCTGACCGCTCTGATCGGGTTGTCCTCAAACCAAATTTTACAAGATATTACAGAAATACGGATTTCCGTATTTTTTCTAAGTGAAACAGTTTGATACATATGTATGCTTATATGTATGTACTATAAAAATGTCTTAAACTGACTGTTTGTGCGATTTTATAACAAATGATTGATTACTACAGAGCAAATAAACGACATAAATACTTATGAGAAAGCATCCACACCAAAGATAAATAATATATGAGGGCAAGAAAATGTTCTTAACGAATTCGTAAAGATAAGCCAACAGTAGTCGTATGAGTAAATTCTTAAGTAAGTGATTTGTAGAAGATATCTCACACAACAAGCACTGAAATAGGAGCAACAAATTGACGATTTGATGAAAGAGTTTTTCATAAAGCTAATGTGCTAACATGACCCATAGCAATTGACAGTATGACAGTATTTATTGACATAGAAGAGGGAGGGAAAAAAGCCATAATATATGTGCCATACGTATGTATGCATGGCTTTTTATGTATAAAAGTTTCTTAAGTTTTCACTTGTTTGATTGATTGAAAAGATGACCTCAATTCCAAGCCTCTAGTGTTCTATATAAACTGCGTATAAAATTAGAAAACTTGCTCATACGTATACCCGTATTTAACTGAGCTGATTTATCTACCAATCGACAATGTATTTACGCTTGCCGAGTAATTAAAAAATATATCTACTTATTTGTGTTAATTAAAAAATTGAAAGCGAAAATTATTAATCAGCCTCATTGGAAGCTCCGGAAATGCCAGTGTGTAAGCAAGCGGATTAGTGACATATACATATATGCATGTGTGTGCATTAGGGTGGTCCAAAAACAGTAAACTCGGAATCGTAATGCTCTCACCCCTAGGATTATTCTATATCGAAAAAGTATACCCCTATTTTTTTTATTTTAAAATCAAAAAATATTTAGAGGTCGCTCAAAATTCCGACTTTACTTTCTCACATGCATTTTTGGACCTCCCTAGTGTACATATACGTACACGTAAATTCTTGTATACCTTTTAAGAAAACACGTCATTGCAAGTGCAAAGATCTCAGCAAAAACAGAAATGCAGTTGTCTGGGAATGTATTTCCTCTTTTTCAATGGGAGTTGCTGAGAGAAGACAAGCCGGTCCCGTTTTCTTTTGGATCCGCAAAGTCGATCTCCGTCGCTTGATGTTACATCTGTCATCCATCATATCCGTCATTCAGCGCCATTTAAATGCACTAATTCTAAATGCAAAACGAACTAAGTTTCCTCAAAACTCGCATTGGCTGTAGACAGTCAAGTTTTGATGAAAACCTTCAGATCGGCAAAGGGTGCTGAATGATTAACACATAGGTTTGCCTATTGAATGCGCCTAAAATTTTGTGGGGACCATTTCTTCGAGGACCTAGAGAGCTAGGTATATCCTCTGAGGTGTGGGCTGTCTAAATTCGCTTTGGATTTGCCCTTTTGGGTTAAACTAAACTAACTTATTGCTGGGATAGAGAAAAAAAGAGCTACAGCTTTATCGTCGACAAGGACACTACCGAGCAAAATTTTTAATTACTCCATTATATTTTGGGTAGTTCTTAACTAGACCTACTCTACGTTCATCGCCATTTTTACTGCTGGGTTGGAGCATATGTGGCATATGCAAATGTGTATGTAACACTCTCGTTTCTTTTCAAAAAATGAACACTTCAGCACATCATTGAACTTGAACTCCGCTGACCGCCACTCGTAATTAAAAGGAAATACTTTTTTTAATAATCTTTTTCCGTCTTCTTACTAACTTTCAGTCGAAACTGAAATACTCTAGATACTCGATGTGTATGCATAAGTACTATGTACGTATGTTCATACATATTATAATGTGTGTAAGTCCATAAAAAAATGATAAACAAAAAACAATTTCAACTGTATTGCGCCTGGTCATTAAGCGAAAAATGTCAGAGGCAGCAGCAACTGACAGCTGGCTACAGGAAATCGAACGCTGAAAAATTACGCAAATGTCATCAGTCGTGAAAAAGCTGCAATCAGCGACTCTGGTGAAAAAATTTAAAATAAATGTTCGATATAGGAGTATAATGCTTTAAGTTTGGGTGCAGTTAAAAATAAAAGTTCAAAAATAAATATCAACAGCAATCAGCTGTTTTTTCGCTTTCACTCAGCATCTAACGGCAAAAAGTGTCATTTATCAGCCTGTCAGCTGTAAAGCCCCGAACAAATAAATTTTAGAAAAGTCAGAATAAAAAAGCACAGCGTCTAGATAAAACTAAGTGGAAAAGTTTGGATAAATAATGTAACTTCATTCACTTGATCGCTCGTTGTATGATTTCTTTGTCTCAACTGCGACTTTTTCCACTCATCTCTGCAGCAAACCACACGCAACATTGATAAATTCGTGGCTTGTTTAGAATCGCCTGACTTTTGAACTGTCAAGCGAATGTCACGAATAGCAAACATGCTTGGAAAGGAGTTATGTACTCGCATGGATGTGCTTTTAGTGTCTTCTTTTTTCGTTGCTGACAAATACAAAATTTTCGGCTTATCTTAATTTATTTTTATGGAGAAATTTTTCTATGCTGAGTGACAGATGGAAATCACGACTTCAATAAAAAGATGGTTAAAATTAAAAATGTAGCTGTGAATGCACATTAGGGTAGTGCCTAAAATGTCAATATCATGTTCCACGCAAATTTCAATATTTAAAAAAAGGGTCGCTAACAGGGTTTTGAAATAAGAATGTAATTGTTTTTTTTTTTTATCGCAAAAATTCAAAAACATGTTTACTTTAACCAGCTTTAATCGAGCGAGTTTATGAATGTAATAATATGTCAAATTTATAAGACTACAAGGCAAAATTTAACAATTTAAATTGTTTCCATCTTCGATAGCGACCATGAATCCGACGAGGCTCGCCCTGGGGATGTAGTTAGAGTTCGCCGCAAGAATCACGATACTCTGTGACAGACCTCAAATGGCTGCTACTTAGATGCAATGAAGAAAGATCACACATTAATTTTGTAGGTATAGACCCAGACGGCCAGCGCTCTTCTCAGCCGGACGAAATAGCAAGGATTATGTGCCCTCAGCGTGAATTCGATCTTGGTGTCATCTTTACCTTTTAAATTTTGCTAGAAAGTAAAATTTCTTTGCGTAATGTTTAATAGGAAGGCGTGGTATTTTCTGAGGGATGCATTTTTAGCTTTGAACTCCCTAGCAGAGTATCTTAAGAATAAAGATTTTTGTAGTTGATGGGTTATGCTTATGTTTTATCCAAGTCGTCTAGGGGGGCCGGTATGTTTAGACGCGTCTGCTAACATCAGGCGCCTAAATACATGCTATGTACTGCTGCATGTGCAAAAACTTCCTTTATGCAATTTATGAAATTTTTGCACATGCACTTCTCAACTGCCATGTAATTAAACTTTCTTAAGTTTTAATTAGATGCATTCTCCGGACACTGTTCCGGAGTTTTTTTGCGGACTCTGCTTGACTTTGCATTCATGCAGAGGTGGTACTCACCTGTATCTACCATTGGCCACAGAGCCTACCCACCTTTTTTGAACCAATAAATATTTTTTTTTTTTATAAAATACATACATGCAAACATACTGGTGTCCCCTCTCACTGAGTTATTCATTCACAAAGGACAGTTCTTATTTGACTTTTCGAAGACAGTTTATTTTCTAGACGCCTACTTTACTCAAACAATGTGACAACAAATACTTATTCTCAATTTTCTTGTTTGTGTAAACTCAAGGTTATACAACTGTCAGCAGTGTTGGACTTACGTGCGTCAAAACTTGGAGAGTTGGCCAACGTTCGTAGGGTCCGTCGACGCAAAGGTTGGCAATCTGCACTCTATGCAAATGCACACAGTCTACTCAACTGTCAGTTTCATACTCGAGCGAAGCGTACGCAAAGTACCCGTTCTAACGGGGCCATGAGCCCCACTGCAGTAAAGTAGGGACTGTCAGCGGCTGTCAGGGCTGCTTTCATAATGATTGCGAATATTTAGTAACTATCTAAACAAAACTCAGCATCAAGTTATTTATTGCCCTTTTTTGTTTAATTTCAATTTTGAAAATCTCACC